TTTTTGAACATAGGTGATTTTTTCCACCACCTCCAAATCACCCAAATTTTCTTGTACATGGTGGCCCACATGTGCCAAACATGGCTATCAAATAAAATTTTGGAAAAGAATATTTTACAAGGCCCCCTTGAGGTATAGACCGATGTTTTGAGCAGCCAGTCTAGAAGGCAGTATCAATTAAAAAAAATTAAAAAATATAAAACCTTGAAAACCTTGCCTAGTTTGTGCAATAGGTCATGTGTGCCAAAATAGAGGTGATTTGGAGGTGGTCGAAAAAATCACCGCATTCCGGAGGGGCCATTTGGTCTAACTTAAGCCAGTTTTTGAACATAGGTGATTTTTTCCACCACCTCCAAATCACCCAAATTTTCTTCTACATGGTGTTTTGAAGGTAGAAACATTAATTTGGCATATATGCAAAAGAATGTGCATTGAATGCAAGTGAGCATGTGTATAATTTAGTGTGTGATTTGAATAGGAGAATATGCCAAAAACACGTGGCAATATGCGAAAAAAAAGTGCCCACCTACCAGAGCAGGTTCATTCATACACCACGGCCTGCATACGACTAGGAACCCAGGCTGTTCATGGGCCAGGATGCAGCCCCGTGGTGCAGAATAACTCTGCTGCTAGAAGGCCCCACGGGGCAGAGGTGACGAGAGTTAGGCAATGTACTGCCTGCATATGATGGAAGCTTGGGAGGGGAGTCGCAACCGGGTATATAAACCGGTGCGGCGCTCTCTCACTTGGCGAGGTGGGACTAAACTCCCACCACCCCACGGCTGTGCGCTACTCTGTGCCCTGCACGGCTCTGCCATGGGCCCAATTTGGGCGGGCTGGCCCAGGGCACCTTACCCGTGGCGCGCTGATCTGTGTTTTATAAATTACTTTTTTTTCACTTCTTAACTTCAAAATTTATTTTCTTGTTTATATTTCTATATTTAAAATCAAATCTCTTTTTTTCTTTATTATTTCTAATAGTGTTTACTAAAATAAAAAAAGTATGCCAAATTTTGTTGCGTTTTATTTCATTTGTTCGTTCTCTTTTTTAAATAAATGTAAGATAATATGTTGGCTTTTATCGCACTTATTCATTTCAATTTTTCTTCTGTTTTCTATATTCTCCTCTTTTCTTTGTTCTGATGGTTATAAATTTAAATAATGTGTGATATAATGTTGTCTTTTATTTCACTATTCATGGTTGTCTTTTTCAATTATAAATTTTCTTTTCTGTTTCATACTTGAAATATTATTAAATTAAATGTAGTTGGGACAATCGCATGCATGCCTCCACATGCACCATGTACTAGAAGTAGGTTTACCTTCCCGGTCCCATCGAATGATCCCAAACTTTATGCATACCCAAGGATGATCATGGCACGCATGCATGACAAGTATCGTTCATTTCTGACACTCGAACCATTTTCTAGGGTTTATCCTGCGACAAAACCCTACAACACTACCCCCACGTGACGCAACATGCGTTTTGTGTCTGAATTTGTGCACACCTTGCCGGGTGGACCACATTGGCCATGCCCACATGGTCCCAATAGTTGGGGTCATCTCATGCATGCCTCCGCATGCACCATGTACAAGCAGGACCATTCGGGTCTGCC